CCGTCTCTTCAAATTGTAGAAGACCCGCGGTCAGGGAACTGCCCAGTGCGGAGGCTGCACTCACATAAGAGTGACTTCACGAGGCACGCATACTCTTACCTGAGTGCGGATGTGGGCGATTGGGGCTAAGAAGTTTTGCGCAAAATCATGGCATCAGATATGGAGATAGGTGACCGGTAAATTGTAGCAGTTGCTGTAACTATTCCTCAAGTTACTCCTTGGACTAGGATCATGGGATCTCCTCCTCCTCCTCCTAAGATCATGCGATAACGTCTGCGTGACAGGGCTGTATTGTTTGTTGGAGCGCGTTCATGCTTCGCGACCCAATCGCGGCAGGATCCAAGCGCTAGGATCGCGAATTGAGCGGGCTCTGATGGCTGTTCCCTCATCTCCCAATTCTTCGAAACTGGGATCGCGTTCCGATGAACTCTTTGAGTGCTAGGTTTCCTTTAGTGTAGAAAATTCGTTCCTAGTATTGATCACGATCACCACTAAGACTTCGTTCAAACTTTGCGATGGCACACTCCCGTAGAAGACCCGCTGCAATGCTGAACAGCCCTAACTTCTCCTTCTTATTTCCCTTTACGTTTTGACCCTTTTTTCCATTGTAACTTCTGTTTTCGAACCCAGAGTGTTATAATTTTGAGGTTATTAATCGTATATTCAATGTTTCATCATCCATATTCTCCCCTCATCACTACAGCCCTCGATTTCCAAACTGTTTTCATCTCCAGTGATTGCAGGCATTTCTCTACAGCTTACACACAGATCCTTTTTTGGTGAGGGTGGATCGGTTAATGGTTTCAACTCATACATGTGAATACTACCTCAAAAATGAAGAGTTACGCGAAAGCAAGCGAAAAATGCGGATATAAGACTTCCACGGCACTCGTATGAGTTGAAACAAAGAAAAGAAGGTCGACTCCGAGCAGAATAAAGATCTATACAAAAGCTAGGAAAGAATGCTTGAAGTCGACGGAAGGTGTGACCAGTCCCGGAATCGTAGACAAACTTGGTGAGGGGACAAATTGGGTGATGAAACATAAATACGAACAACTACCTTGACATCAAAGAATCTGTAATCAAGAACAGAAGCTACGATGGAAAAAGGTTTAAATAATAAAGAAAAAGAAGCTAAGGCATGCTAGAGTAGCGCTCGTCGCACATTCTGGAGCGTCATCGCGAAGTCTGAATGCAGCCCTTCCACCTGCTTTGGTGTGAAGTTGTTTTTTCATCTTGAAAAAAATCTAATACTGTGTACTTATTTATGGTTTCAGACAGTTTTACTTGTACGCAACCGATCCTCTTGTGAAAAGGATCGGTATGCAGTGTTGGGTGTACTGTGCGGTAACCGCTCTTGAAGCTGCAATATGTGTGAAGTTTGGGCGGCACATGTTCCCAGACATGCCTGTCTACCCTATTATAGTGTGGATAGCATTCCTTGTGAGTAACCTTTCTCAAGTAGCTTTATCCGTCTTTCTTCCAGTATTCGACGACTAACTGCTTATTTGTTGTTTATTCAATATTTTTTCCTAGCACATCATGCAAAACTGTGTTTTACTCTCAAACTGAGCTCCAGTTGAAAGATGGAGGAAAAGACCCTTTGTGTGAATGGCGGGATAGATTCTGATGCGATATCTCCCTTACTTAGGTGACTACAAGTACACCCGCACTGGAAAGCTGTTCATCGAGAGCAGTGACACCAGAAAAATCATAGCCATTTCTGTCGGTGTCACTGCGCCTCGTCATTTGACGCGTCCAAGGCTTATGTTTTTTTGTAAAACGCCCAGAGATCTTTTCTGATGAGCTCAATCTCAGGGGAGAAAGCAATCTGGTTCCTTTGTTCGCGCAGATGGTTTAACGTCTTCCTCATTTCCTCTATTTTTGAAAAGCATGAGGAAGCAAACACATAGGACCCCTTGTATATTTCTTACTTAACACGCACTATTATATCGAAAGTGAGGGTGTCTGGTCCTCATGAAAGATGTCAGATTACCTGTTTTCAGGTTGTCGGCACATTCTTCAGCGTTTGGCTTTCCGTGTGGTGGGCACGCTATTGTTCGGTAAGGCACAAAATTCCTCTAACCTAATGGAAATTTAGCAAATAACAAGTGTTTACATTTTAAAATGTTCATTCCGTATGCAACAGTTCTGGGTTGAATCAAACTTTCGCAACAGTACCCCCTTCCCACATGTGTAAAGTGCTCAAGTGACCGATGGGTCTAGTCAGTGACGGATTTATTACAACTTGGGAGCAGTTAAAGGGTTATCATCAATCATCGTTATGGTTTTGGTGTCTGTGATGTTTTTTCCACGTGTATTCTGAACGTTCTTCGTAAGTCGAAAAAGACCTGTCACTTCACTGATCTCAGTTTGCACAAAAATAGTTCCAGATAGGGAAGTGGAGTAGGGATTACCGATCCGGTATGGTTGGTTGTGACAAAGTGTTCCGGTAAAGGCAGGAGAAACATGGTCTAGAAATGCAGGTTTTCGCTTTTCGCCGAGAGTCGCTGAGATCATTCGAGGGTGGAAGAGTGCTTCGACTGTTACTGAACATTGCATTCCACCACGAGGACGGCCCACAGATAGAGCTGGCGGTAGACCCATTCGCTTTCTGAACAGAGTGAGGTCCATCGAGAGTCCGGAGTGAGATCTTGAAAAGTAGGGTCCTGCGGGTCCCAGACAGTTTCCACAAGAGAATATAATGTATTGTAATGACGGTGTAATGCTATAGTCGTATCACTCATAAATATGCATCATGTTGTGTAAAAGATTATATATTAATTTGCAGAACACCAAGGAGATGGATTTTGATGGCGAAAAACGTGTCTGTTACATAGACTCTTCTCATGAAAATCTTGGAGCCATTCATGATGATGTTTGCCGACGTCGACGTGATCTCGGATTCTCCGAATCTGACTTACAATAGCCTAGGATCTATTTTGGAATTTCTACATTCCTGCTTCCTGAATTCCTTACTACAAACCTGCTCTTCTGTATTTGAAAGTTCAAAAGTGCAAAATGGATATGAATTCCACTGCGTGAATCATTTCGCTCATTCCGCTCGTTGGCTTGCATAAATCAAACTTTGGTGACTCAGCTGTTTTTTTTTTTTGTTCACAAT